TTTTTTTTTTGTATGTATATATATATATATATTACTTTTAAGTTTTAATTTAATGAGAAAGTTTTACATTAACTCCATTTAATAAAACTTATATGCAATAAGAGCCTTATATAGTACATCTCCCTTTATCGTACATGCATTAGGTAAGTGGAAAGTTTTAGTCTGAACTCAATTTTGCAGACTACAAAAAAGCTAAGTTCTAATAGATTGGTCCCCTTATGGCATATAGGTAATGGCCTCTCACACAATAATACACAAATAGGAAAAAACGGTTCAATATAAAATAATTTAGATGGTACGTACTAATTTGATATTGGTTATTAATTATTATTGATGGTTTTTATGTTCTAATTTTACATTTTATTTCGTGTTTCATTAAATTAAATAGATGACACGTCTACACGATAATAGCATTGTAGTGTAGTAAATTTTATTTATTTAGACTTAGAAAAGTGGAAAAAAAAAAACTTAGACCCGCACATATGTTATCATATATACAACACAATTTATTTTTTTAGAAAATGCTAAGGTCCTGTTAGGGGATGGGTCAGTCATTGTTTTTCACCATTTGATACATATATAGATTATGTTGTATATATAATCTACGGTAACAAATACCGACGGAACCATTGCGTCAACGGTACTCTAGTCGTTCCCGTTTGTTTTATACTTATAGTTTTCAATAATGATCTTTTCTCAAAATAGGAAAAGTGGGGTGTCCTTTTAAATCATTACCTCAATCTAGCTAGCTAGCTATTAATGTGAAGATATATATCTTTAATAAGATTTCTAATAAGTGAATCAAATAGAGTTGACTGTGTGGTGTCTCAAAAAACAAAAGATGGACACCTCACCAACTGATAATATAACTAAAAATAAATATTATACAATTAGTGTGTTTTCATGCAGACTTTCTCCTCTACACAAAAATTGGCAAAAAGATTTCATATGATGGTTTCACATTCCAAAAATTCCACCTAATACTTAATTTCCCAAGAAACATTCAAACCAATGTACAAACTTCAAGTCCCCAATATGCTTACATACTACTTCTAATACTAAATCCTAAACCTCAATCCATAACCATGGTTAAAGGGTCTCCTCAACAAGAATAGAATGAAGAAACCCTAAACCCTACTAATTAAGGTAACATTTTAACCTACAATTATCGATTTTTTTTTTAATCGTTGGACTAACATGTAATCTAACGAGTATATATATGTGTATGTATGTATGTGTTGATCTGACGGTAAAAAGACCACTATCCTTAATCCATATGTATGTGAATTGAAACAAAAATAAAAAAAATCAGAATGCTTTTATTGCATGCACCCAAGAGAACATCATGAGAAATTAATAGAATGAGTGAGTTCAAAAGGAAATAGTTTCTCAAGAAAAGGGGATCATCATAAACCAATTAGCACACACACACACACACATACACAAACACACACACACATACACACACACACACACACATATATATA